TCAACTCTAAGTCACATTAAGAGTTTACTGAAGGTAGAATACAGTTTACACTCCATTGTCAGCGGTAACTGACTCTTCATCAGCTTCTGCACCTTCACTCAACCGTGCAAATCCTTTTCCAAAATCATCAAGCCACAAAAAGAGTGTTATTTGCCAAGCCCACCTCTCCTGATTATCTTGCTAAGCTTGGAGAATTTGCCTGCAGCATCAGTAGCTGAATCAGCACACTGCCTCAAATGTGTCTATGCACACACAGCTATTTGGAGCTGTTCTTCAGCACCAACACCCTGGTTGCATGCATGGACACAGCCTCAGAGATCTCCACTTATCCAAGTGAATATGTCCTTGAAAAGATAACTAACAGGAACAGATTGAGAGAAATTCATTTATTTTGGGTCCAATCAGTTGCCAAATCTTATTGTTTCTAACTTTGCAACATTTCTCATACACATCCTTTTTTTTTCCACTTGCCCAGTTGCAACCCCATTTTGGATCCTCATCACCTCTTCTTGCCTTCGGGTTGGTCCCCATGCCTCAAGTCCCTCCCCCCTCCAATCCTTCCTCCACTCACCTGTCAAAAGTATTTTCCCAAAGTGCAGACCTGATCATGTCACCCACCCCCCTCATTCAATAAACTCCAGTGGCTCCCTATTACTTCCTGGATCAATTAGAAAATACATTTTTTAGCATTTAAAGTCTTTATAATTGCTCCTTCCCACTTTCCAGCCTTCTTACACTTTATATTCTACACATTCCAAGGGCACTGGTCTTCTTGTTCCTTGCATATGACACACCATTTCCCATCTCCACACCTTTGCTCTGGCTCTTCTCCAGACCTGGAATGCTCTCCACCTCTTGGTCTCTCTGGCTTCTCTGAAGACTCAGCTTAAATCCTACCTTCTCTAGGGAGTGTTTTTTGTCCTCCTATCTCCTTTCTCCTTCTGCTCTGAGGTTACCTTCTATATCCTCTGTTTATATCTTGTATGTATACACAGTAGTTATTTATGTGGCAGGTGAAAGATGAAATAACTGAGAAAACAAAGGTTCGAACTTCTGATTATATCAATTTATTAAGCAATACATGCCAAATGCATAAGGAATCAGGACCAGTCGCCTTCCTCAGCTTTGGTGCTAGGTCCCAAATACAAAGGGAGACAGGCCTTTATACATTAAAAATAATCAAAAAATGCCAATTATTTAAAAGAAAACAATTGACCCTGATACAAAATTGCATAATCTGATTTCTAATTGGAAAAAAGATTAGGGACTTTCCAAGTTGGGAAGGGAAGAGTGAACAGGTGCAATTCCTTGAAATCAGAACAAGAGGTGTCCAACTGCCCCCAAGGGCATGTATTCAATCAAAGGAATGAGGAAACAGTAAGTGATTGATCAGTTTTCAGACAAGACATATGGATTGCTTGAGATGTATAACTGTGAGAAAACTCCTTGTACCAATCTTCAGAACAGACCAGGTTATTGTTCAGCATAACATAGGCCCACTACATGCTAGGAACTATGCTAAACACTTTACAATCATTATCCAACTTGATCCTCAAAATAACTTTGGGAGATAGGTGTTGTTTCATTCCCATTTTATAGATGAGCAAACTAGGGTGGACACAGAGTAACTGACTTGCCCAGGGTCACACAGGTAGTAAGTACATGAAGCTGGATTTGAACTCTAATCTTTCTGACTCCAGGTCTAGCATTCTATCCACTGAGCCACCTAGTTGTTCCATACTTAGTCAATGATTAAATGACTGTCACTACCTGATTTTATTACTACTGGACCTGCTGTCTGATTCTCATTTTTCTCCCCCTGATATTTTGTCGCTCACCTTTACATCTGCACAAGCCAGTCCCGATGCCTGGAATGCCCTCTCTCCTCATCTGGCCTGTCAGAGTCTTTGTTTTCCATCCAAAAGGCTTAAGGTGGCACCAAGATTACACCTCCTCCATGAAGCTTTCTCTGATCCCCACCCCCCCAGCTGTTAATGTTCTTTTCCTTCTCGATTTTCCTTGGCCTATAGTTATTTGTGTCTATGTTGTTATCTTTTCCACTCTCTTCCTCACATCTGCTCTCAGCAGAATGCAAGCTCTTTGAAACTAAAGATGATTTCTTTTTTTTTTCTGTGTCAACAGTCTCAGTACTATACCTTCCATGGAGTAGGTATTTAATAAATAGTGATCAAAGTGAATTGCTAGTGTAACTATTAATAATTCACATATGTAGTGCTTTAAGGTTCAAAAAGTGCTTTATATACCTCATTTAAGCCTCTCACCTTGAGGTAGGAACTAGGACATTGAGGTTCAGAGGAAGTTAAACACTTTATCTATGGCCAAACAGCTAGTAAATGTGAAAGGTAGGATTTAAACCCAGGCCTCCCAGTTCAATTGTAGGGCTTATTTCCCCACAATTCCTAGCCCTTGCTATTTCTATCAGCAGAACTAAATCGACCTGTGATTAACACAGAGCCATACAAGAGAACGTGAGGAGGAACAAGAGCAAGAAGGGATCTCAGAGGTCATCTGGTCCAACCCTCTCATTTTATAGTTAGAGAAACTGAGACTCAGTGAAGATCAGGGATTTGTACAAAGTCACAAACATCAGAAATGGGATTGGAACCCAAGTGCTTGGACTCAGTCAATGCTCTTTCCATTATTCCCTACTGAAGGGAAAAAAAATTGAGGGGAAGGAAATACCAAGAATGAATGGGAATAGAATTTTTAAACCACCCCAAGGTATGTTTCCTTCTCTTTAAAAAAAAAAATCTGGGTTTTTTTTTTCCCCCAGGGAAGTAAAACTTTCTCTCTCCCACTCTGGTAGCCAATGGGAGCTAAATAACAAACAGTATTTACATATCAAATAGGAGTAGCACTGGGGCAACAGGAATGATTCACCTTCACTTCAAATGGTATTGGAAGAACTGCAAGGACACGTGCAAGAGGATCAAGCAATTGGAAGTGTTATGTGAACAGGAGCATGTAGAGGAAAGTGGGGAGGTAATGATGAGAGCCAGAGAAGCTGGGTACGTCATCACTCCCAACAGGGGAAAGCAGACAGACAGACACACAGATAGATAGAGAAAAAGAAGGAAGGAAGGAAGGAAGGAAGGAAGGAAGGAAGGAAGGAAGGAAGGAAGGAAGGAAGGAAAGGAAGGAAGGAAGGAAGGAAGGAAGGAAGGAAGGAAGGAAGGAGGAAGGGAAGGAAGGAAGGAAGGAAGGAAGGAGGAAGGAAGGAAGGAAGGAAGGAGGAAGGAAGAGAAGGATGGGAGGAGGGAAGGAGGAAGGGGAGGGAGGGAGGAGGAAGGATGGGAGGGAGGGAGGGAGGAAGGGAGGGAGGGAGGGAGGAAGGGAGGGAGGGAGGGAGGGAGGGAGGAAGGAAGGAAGGAAGGAAGGAAGGAAGGAAGGAAGGAAGGAAGGAAGGGAGGGAGGAACGGAGGGAGGGAGGAAGAAGGAAGGGAGGAAGGAAGGAAGGAAGGAAGGAAGGAAGGAAGGAAGGAAGGAAGGAAGGAAGGAAGGAAGGAAGGAAGGAAGGGAAAGGAAGTGAAGGAAGGAAGGAAGGGAAAGGAAGTGAAGGAAGGAAGGAAGCAAGGAAAAAAGTGGGAGGGAGAGAAGGAAGGAAGAAAGAGAGAGAGGCAGGAATGAAGGAACAAAGGGTAGGAGGGAGGGAAGAAAGGAAGGAAGGTAGGTACTAAGTACCACACCCCGTGTTAAAAGCTAAAGAAGAAAAATTTACCCTAAAGCTGAGCGACACAAATCTGCCAAAGGATGAGACAAGGATGCATTAGTCTATCAGAATGTAAGCTCTCTGAGGAAAGGGACTATTTTCCATTTTGTCTTTGTATCCCCAACCCCCAGACACATTATCACAGGCACATTATCACAGAATCATAGAATTTTACAAGGTAAATTACCTCAGTGCCTATAGAATACAAATCATAGCTCATGGGATCCCTCATTACACCATGCCAGACAGGTGCTAGCCTAGCTTGTGCTTAAAAACCTCCAAAGGAGGGAAGCCACTGCCTCTCAAGGCATTCCATTCTACTTTGGAGCAGCCCTAATTGTTAGGAAACTTTTCCTAACATTGAGTTGAAATTGACTTTTTTGGCCACTTCTACACAGTGATCATAGTTCTGCCTCCTGGGAGCAACAGAATAAGTGTGGTCCCTCCTCCAAATGACAGCCCTTCAAATATCTGAAAATAGTTAGTGGGTACCCCTCTGAATCTTCTCTTTCCCAGGCTAAACATGCCCAGTTCCTTCAACCAATCTCCTTCTGTCAAGGGCTCAAGGTCCTTCATCATCCTATTATCCGGCTTCTGGCTCATCAAAATGGTTTGTCTGTCATCAACAGCATTTAAGCAAGGGAGATGGAGGGAGGGGAGAGGGGGCAAAGATAATGACTGCAAGAGTGCCATGATGATAAGAGAAAGGGATAAACTTCTGGCTTCTAACAAAGCATGGCAGCCAATTGGGGACTGACTAGCTTCCTCCAGAATCTAATGGGTCTTGGCTTTTTTTTCCAATCATCGCAGCACGGGCAATAAGCCAAAATGATGTCTGTGGGACATACTGCACAAAGTGCTAGCAAAAAAGTACCCAACAGCTATTGCAATCTAAAAGCCCATCTCCCTCAGTCCTCCTAAATCATTTCTATTTCCCCCATTTTAATCCTTGACCCCTTACCGTCATCTCTATAGCCACAATGTTATCCAACCACTCACCCCCAGCAACTCTGAGCTGGGTAATTTCTGTCCCACGCCACATCTGTAATTAGGTCATTTATGAATAAAAAGCCCAAAGAAGAAAGCTTGGTGCAATAACATATCCGCGTAATGTAGCCATTCAGGAGCTATATGGCCGCCACTATGCTGATGAGCTAAAAAGATAGCAATTCTATTAGCCATAAAGGAGACCCATCAGAAAAATGAATGCATTACTTCTCTATCAGCTACCACAGGCCTCCTGGCATAGGAGTGCCTGGCCTCTTCTTACCTGTTCTCAATATCTGGAATATGGCCCACACACACAAGGGTTGCTGTTGTCTGTGTCTCTCCATTATCAATTTCCTCCTGGATCTCCCACTCATCTTCATTGCTGACTCTCACAGCCATGATCTTGAGCCTGGGAGCAGCTTTTATGCTGTTAGAGAACAAAACAAACCACTTTAGTTAGCACCAAATACATGGTGAACAACAGGAAGAGGACCCGTCACTGAAGGAAATGATACTTACACGGCCACACCTCCCTTAAAGACATATGGAGAAAATAGCAGAAAATGGTTGGGCCTATAATAACCATCTGCATCACATGCAACTGAAGCACAGGTCTCCTGACATGAGACACAGGTTAATTCTTTCCTTAAAAATATGTTGGAAACCTGAACAGTCTCCACTTTTGTAGCACTGAGCTGATGTTAAAGAAACAGATGTGCCTAGATGGAATTTTATTTAATTTGCAATGTTTTATCCTCCAGATAGAGATGAGGGTACATCCATTACCAAGTACCATAAATAGGTACACCCAGGGTTACTTCACCTAAGGAATGCTGCTTTGCATACCCAAGATGTGGAGAAGTAGGTAGGCATGCTGCCAAGCTCAAATTCTGCATATGTATTACATGTATTTAATTATTTATATGTTTTCTCCCCAACCAGAATGGAAGATCTCTGAAGATAAGGACTGTGTTTTGGCCTGTCTTTGCATCCCTGAGGTTTAGCACAGTGCCTAGCCCATAGTGGGTGCTTAATAAAATGTTTGTTGACTAATTAACTAGCAAAAGAAAGCTGGGATATCATCACTGCCAAATAACCATAGATATCCCCCCAACAGGAAAATAAGTCCAACTTGGACATAAAAGCCAAAATGGGTCACTAGAAATTTATGGCACGTGCAGAGCTAATTTTCTGGAGAAAACAAACAGGGAGCTAAGACCTTCGGCCATTGAGAAGGAGGACAAGAGAGTCCAATGTCCTTATTGGCAGGTTGGCCCCCACATGCCTCTTTTTCACTGTTCCCAGAACAACCCCCAGGCTACTACAGAAATGGGGATGGGCCCCCATTATCATGGCAGGGTCTTCATTTGTAGCGCTCAAGCTGTCCAAATGCAATCTTGGTATTTCCATCTGGTGCACAATTAGGATGAAAGCTTACCTACTGTGGTTTCCCGTGCTCCTCAACCCAGCCCTCCACCACCACCACTACTGCTGCTGTGACTTAATTAATTTTAAGTAAAGTCAGGAGGGACTGCTTAGACTTCTGGTGAAATGAAACCACAGTACTGAGGCTTGGCTAGTCTACTTAGCAGGGAATTGTGATTGGCTTTCCTTCTGCTCTCCAGAAGCCAATGGGAGCCAATGTTCAAGGAGCTTCACAACTTAGCAAGTGATGGATCCTTCCTCTGCATCACTTTACACAGTACCAAGGGAGATGCTACCTCTGGGAAAAGAGTCCATGCAGAGTTAGGAGGATGCCAAGTAATTGATTTCTCTCTTGCTTCCCTTCTACCCCATGCATTAAAAATCCTTCCCTGCTTGAAACCTGGGTGGCTCCTCCTCTTTGGTATTTATTAGGTAGTATTGTATATCACTTTCTTACACTTCCAGTTAGACTGTAAGCAAGGACTACATCTTGGTATATTTCTTCCAGCACCTGGCACAGTGCTCTGCACGCAGTATGTGTTTGCTAAATATCTGCTGAATTTGAAGGATGCAGAGAAATGCAATCAGTAAGTTCATGTTGAATCTTCCCTGCCTTCTTTGTGGAGGTGAGGGGTAATGGGCATACAACAGACAGCTGAGGTGCTCTGGATGGAGTGCTGGACTAGGGGTCTAGAAGACTTGAACTTGAATTCCACCCCAGAAGCTTTACTCTGGGACCCTGGGCAAGTCTCTTAGACTCTCTGGCCTCAATGTCCTCTTTTGTAAAATGGAAGGAATAAAAGCACCTACCTCATATTGCTATCGTGAAGATCAAATGAAATGATATATGTAAAGTGCTCTGCAGACCTTAAAGCATTATAGAAACACTAGCTATTGCTGCAGATGGTTTTGAGTTCTAGTCATATGTTTCCTGAACTGTTCAGTTTGGGCTTTCTCATTTTTTTCCTTCAATCTTTTGTTACAAGCGATGGCTTTTTGGGTCAGGGAGAGGGGTGCGATAGATGCTGAAATTAAAGTGATATGAAAATAAAAGTTATTAATAAAGAAATTAAAATGTTGCAAATGCATGCAGGGGCTCTATTTGCACCTCTTTTCCTTAGCTTCCGCTCACACCTCTATTCCGCATCAGGCAGAAAGGTAAATGTTGGCCAAGTTAGGGTCATCGCTATGAAACGTGAAAGGCATAGGCAATGGAGCCTCTGGGGCCTGGAGTCAAGAAGACCTGGGTTCAAATCTGTTCTCACACATTTACTAGCTATGTAGGCCTGGACAAGTCACTTTACCTCTGTCTGCCTCAGTTTCCTTTGCTATATAAATGCTAACCAAAAGTCTCTAAGGTCTCTTCAGGCTCTAAAGTTTTGTGATTAATCTTGACAAAAAAAAAAAACACAAATGGATTAATTTGCTAATACTAGCTAATTTGCTAATACTTAGCTAGTATAGGTAAGTATTAGCGGGAGAGAAGAAGGGAAGGAGAGGGAAGAGACAGAGAGGAGAGAGAGAGAGAGAGAGAGAGAGAGAGAGAGAGAGAGAGAGAGAGAGAGAGAGAGAGAGAGAGAGAGAGAGAGAGAGAGAAGAAGAAGAGAAGAGAGAAGAAGAAGAAGAAGAAGAAGAAGAAGAAGAAGAAGAAGAAGAAGAAGAAGAAGAAGATGGCAGAGGGAAGAGGAAAAGAGAGAAAGATAGAGACAGAGAAATAGGGAGGAACAGACAGACAGAAGGACAGAGAGATGAAAAGATATATGGATGTAAGAACAGACAGACAGAAGGACAGATAGACAGATGAACAAAAAGATGGATGGACAGATGGACAGGAATCCAGGTGGACAGATGGACAGATGGATGGACAGATGGAAGCAAAGACAATCCCTGCCCTCAAGGAGCTTATAGTCTAATGAGGAGACAACCTATAAAGAGGAGTGGTGCCTAGGAAGGAGTATTTTGGTCTGGGAAATCATCAGGATGTTGAGTGGAGTCACAGGGAAGTAAATGGATACATCCTATTCAGTAACAGTGACAGTAAGTTCCAGAATTGGAAACTAGAGATAGGAGGAGATTGGAATGAGAAGGAAGTATGGCTACAGTCAGCCTGGATATCATGGTGATTAGGGCAATAGGAGATCCCAGGATGGGTGTTTTGGAGCTAAAAGAATCTAGTTCTCCAGGACATAACTTTTTGGTACAGATGGAAAGGCAGCTGGGAGGAAGACCTAGGTTTAAAATCTTGGCTTTAAAGCTTTTTTGGGGGTGGTAAACTGGAAATTAAGGGGATGGTCATCAGTTGGGGAATGACTAAACAAGTAGCAGTATATGATTGTGATGTAATACTGTTGTCCTATAAGAAATGATGAGCAAAATGGTTCCAGAAAAATCTGGTAAGACTTATATGAACTGATGCAAAGTAAGGTGAGCAAAACCAGGAGAACACTGTATGCAGTAAGAGCAATATTGTATGATGATCAGCTGTGAAAGACTTAATTACATATATATGAAGGCTCTCAGGGGACCCTTCTGTTGGCTTGACATTTGCTTCCTTCCCTCAGGTAGAGTGATCTCCCCCAATTCCCCTTTCAGACACTGCAAAGCTCAGCTCCTTGGGTTTTCCTTGAAGTCTGCCTGCCTCCCAGCTTCCTACCTCAATCACTTTGCAACAGGGACTCATTATGTGTTCTCTCCTCTCTCTCTCTCTCTCTCTCTCTCTCTCTCTCTCTCTTCTCTCTCTCTCTCTCTCTCTCTCTCTTTCTCTCTCTCTCTCTTCTCTCTGTGTCTCTCTCTGTCTCTCTCTCTCTCTCTCTCTCTCTCTCTCTCTGTCTCTCTCTCTCTTCTCTTTCTTCTCTCTCTCTCTCTCTCTCTCTCTCTGTGTCTCTCTCTGTCTCTTCTCTCTCTCTGTCTCTCTCTCCTCTCTCTCTCTCTCTCTCTTCTGTCTCTCTCTGTCTCTCTCTCTCTCTCTCTCTCTCTCTCTCTCTCTCTCCTCCCCTCTCCCTCCCCCCCCCATCCCTCCTGCCTTTCACAGAATCACAGAATGTCAGCACCAGACAGAACCTCTAAGGCCAGGCTGACCAACTTGTACCTGAATGAGGATCCATCAAACAAATTCAAGAAAAGTGCATATCCAGTCTTTGCTTGGATAACTCCAGAGAGTAGGTGAATCACTACCACCCAAAACAGTCCATTCCACTTTTGGAGGCCTTTACTTGTTATGAAGTTTTTCTTTGTGTCTAGCTAAAAGCTGCCTCTTTGCAGTTTCTAACCTTAGCTCTTTCCATTGGGTCCAAGCCAATTCAAAACCTTCAACATGACAGCCTTCTCTTCAAGCGCTTGAAGATGCCTGTCAAGGGCTCACTAAGTTGTCTCTTCTCCAGGTTAAATATTCCCAGTTCCTTCAACTGATGTATCTGTGGTCTTATCTGAAGACCATTCACCATCCTGATTGCCCTCCTCTTTTCCCCCTCCAAAATATCTAGAAAAGCTGTTTTCTCATAGAATCACAGACATAGATCTAGAGTCAGAGAACATAGATTTATTTGCCTTTGACATTACTACCTGTGTGACTTACAGCATGTCACTTAACTTCTTGGGCCTCAGTTTCCTCATCTGTAAAATGAAAGGATTAGGCTAGACAGACCCTGAGGCCCCTGCTAGCTCTAGCTCTCTGATCTTATAATCTAGCCCAGTCCTTTTCACGTATTCCTACGCAAATTAGAAGGATGAATATACCAAAGACAACATGGTAAGGAAGGAAGAAAAGAAACAAGCATTTATTAAGCTCCTACTGTGTGCCAGACACTGTGCTAAGCTCTTTACAAATTATTGTTGTTGAGTTGTTTTTCAGTCATGTCTGATTCTTCATGACCCCATGTGGGGTTTTCTTGGCCAAGATACTGGCATAGTTTGGCATTTCCTTCTCCAGCTTACATAAAAGGAAACTACAGCATTCAGGGTTAAGTGATTTGCCCAGGGTCAGACAACTGGTAAGTGTCTGAG